AACTGAAATCCTGTGACCAGATATTGGTCTTGAAATGTTCGAATTCACGTGTTCACATGATAATGCTTGCATTAGTCACGCGCGCACAAGAACCTTGAGACTAGTCTCACGGGATGTGAGAGGCTGATCGGATGAATTGAGATAGGGAGACTTAGCTTATGAGTGGCACAGTAATGCACAGTTACGATGCGTTCCGTGATGAGTCCGAACTAATGCTCTGAAGTGAGAAATTTCAGAATTGCTATCATAAGCGCAGCACAAGGAGAAAACAGTAGAGGCATAATGCGTGGGCGCCAAGATAGTTCCGCACGACCTATTACACGACATCCGAAACTACAAATACAACCAGTACTGATATCTGACCCCAGCTTAGGGTCGTGAGTCATCATCTATAGTTGAACGCTCGAACACGATAGGCCGTTAGATTGATCCCAAGAAAGGAGGTTGATAAGAATTGATAAGGATACTCACGACCTGTCAAAGGCGCTATGACAGGGAGGTAAGAGGCGACCACCGGCGAACAAATAATTCATAGCTGCAAGGCGGTGCTTGGGGGGCTTGAGACCTGATCAGGAGACCTTCGGTTTTTCGCGACTGCCTCGTTCAATCCGGCAACTTTGAACATCAGAGCAGCGTAGATGGCGAGCGCTACAGCACAAGCTGTGCTGCACGACTTGTGCGCGCCATCTTGTGGGCTTTCCTATGCGGTTCTCCCGACGAAATTTTCCAGTCACTCGAATGGACTTGCTGACTGCTCCGCGCGACAGCTTTGGAGAGTCTCCGTTTCACGGGAGTCACTACAGTCTCCATCACACAGGTTTTTTCCCGCATGCGGACTGCCTGGTGCTTATCCCATTTGCTCTGCCTCACTTTCGCCGGTTCAATCGGCCCTCTATTCCCAACTAGAAAGGTTCATAGTGGTTTAGAGTCCTACAAGTACATTCCCTCGGCGTGGGGGAGAAAAGAGATCCCATCTTGTTGGAGCCATCAATGTCCTCATTCGGCCAACTTCACATGGGATTTTTACTGGGATCAAATTTTGAAACTTGGAGTGAGGAACTTGGTCCTCGGTGGCTGCAAATTCTACGTTCCTGGTAAACTAAGGTGCTGGAGGCGCAGCAAACTTGCTGCTCTGAAGGAGCGTGTGGCATCTCGAGGCGGCAAAATTCTGGTCGATCTAGACTTCGACGGTCCATTCAATCTATTCAACGAGACTCTTATCGTGAACACCATCCATAAGCTCAGTAAGTACTACTCTGGTGTCGGTATACGTGTTACGTATGGGCCTGAGTACTTTGACAAAAGATCCATGGTGAAAATACTCAAACTCGCCGTGGAGACTGTGAATAAGCTCAACATGATCTCGGCGATCCGGTGAGCATCGTATTCATAGAGTCAGCGTTATCTGCGATACTTTCTCAAAAGCAGGTCCGAACTGGGGATCAACTATCTCGGACCCTCCGATTGGAATATTTTGAAGCAGAGTGGCCTGTTAAGGATCGTGAAGCTCATGTTCGTTGACGTTGTCGCCTGGCCTAAGAGGACACCCTTGTTCATCACTGACAAGTTTTCGGAAGACTTGATAGCCAATGCCACTCGAGCTGGACTAGATACTGATAGAATGATCCTCCAGGTGAGTGACTCCTTCCACAGTTGTATAAGTTCAGCCGATGAATCACTCAGATTAACCCCTGCACTCCACAGATTAACGGAGACGATACTATGGGATACGCGAATATGATACTCGACGCCCATTGTGATCCGAATGGGAACGGCACCTGCAAGTTCTACGAAATGTACTTCAACTATTTCCCCCAGCATCTCATTAAGAGCAAGATCCCCTTGGCGAAGAAGCATGGTCTCCATGGTTTATCCATGGACCGCAACTATCCGGAACAGACTGATCTCTTACCTTGGGACCAACGCTCTATGTTTTATACCTTGTTTACCAATATGTGATGATGTCTGTTAACCAGACCATTTCACTTGCGACTGGAGCATTCAATTCGGAGCTATTTTCATAGGCGTTCTCAAGATGCTGTATCGGTGAGCCTTGCTCAAGGTACAGCTCACTTTAAGGCTTTTCAGTGACTCGACGGGGTTTCCCGAATGCGTTAAGTCGCATAGCGAGGTTCCATCTACTTTTTTCATCGCTAACACTGGCTAGTAGTAGAGTTTGTATACTCAAGAGTGGCCCCGGGGCGCGATACTCCATCCATCACATCGTTGAGCCGATTCAAATCGTCTGAGAAAGGAAGGGGAAAATTCCGACTTTGAGATTCCTTACAGCATGCTGGAAGTCCTAAACCTTGTCAACATCGAGTTCATACTTGAGAACATCAATCTCGCCCCGGCGGGCAAGTTTGGGCACACGAATCTGAGAGGAGGAGGAGGAGGAGGAGGCGCAATTAGCCATTGGAAACTTCAGGGGTGTTCAAAAGAGCCACATTCGAGCTCAGGAGCACTTTCAGCCTGGGAGTCTAGACAGGATAGGGGTGGACGAGAGAGCGGGTCAAGAGCGATCCCAGGAGTGGATCAGAGGTGCTTTCCAGCGAGTTAAATGAGGCTCGCGTCCGCCCCAAGAGTGTTCCTGAGAGAGCATCTCCATATGGAGATTCTATCGAGTGTTGCAGAGTAAAACAGAAAAACGTCATACATGTCTCCAGGGGCCTGAGCAACCTCATAATAACACAACAACCGAGCACAACTCACCTGTGAGATGCTACTGAGAAGCTTTAATGGTCCACGACCAACAGAGGACCTCATTGTCGTGATCCCGCAAAGTTAACACAGAAATGGTAGGGACCTAAAAGCATCTTCAGAAATATAAAGCAGTGGGGATGGTGTCAATGTCAATTCCATTTGATCAATTTCCATTCGGCAGTAGAGTGTCGTCGTCACTTGCCGTCTTCAGTTGATTCAGTTGAGTTACCTCCTCCTCCTCATTTCTGGGTGTTACTTTATTATTACCATACAATGTGATGATGAGCACGTGTTGGTCGGGATGCGTCTGAGACCCGCAAGTAGGAGGATCACCTTGCTTAGACGATTCATCATCCATATGCAAACTCAAGAGAAGAGGATATTCGGAGAGATTGATAACTTTGAATCGGCTAAAGTCCCAGACTCAACATCCCCCCGACCAACATCCCGTGCTTTACTTTTCTACCAACACGCGTACCAACTAGCTGATGTTGGCCATAACTCTCTGTGTCAAGATTGGTGATGAGATTCATCGTCACCATCGGTTACAGCCGATATGCTCTTATCATGACTTGGATAGTGCTGTGAAGAACTACTACACTATGAGCGGCGAATTGGGTTCATATGTAAGCACGGATGAATAATTGTTCACACTGATGAGTGTGTCAAGTTGCTGTTTTTATGTTGCTGATTACTGATTCGGTATTTGGTATAGCGTATGTGGGAATTGCGTTACTTCGACTAGGACTATGAGTTAGAACCATGTAGGCAGCTTAAAGTGGTGATGAAGGTGTTACGGTTGAGGAGGATGTCGTAAGAATATGCGGGGCTTTTAATAATCGCTGCTATTCCTGGCGTCCACAACCAAGTTGGAGAACATTGGGCGTGATGAAGGCGGCGCCTCTGGAGAGCTGAGAGATTTATGGTATATCGCATACAGTTTACAAGAGGGTATGCTTGTGAGGGCGGCTGTGAGATGGCGGGTGGTAGAGCATGTAAGTCGGAGAAAAAGTGGTATCGAATAAGGACTAAATGATGGGGTCTACATTGACAGGTATCATCTAACGTGTGCCGACATACTGCAGAATGCCGTATGGCTCTGCAGAATGGGGTAGAGGTGAATACTGGTGATTATATATCCGTGTTGGGAGAATCAGCAAATTCCTCACGTCAGAAACTCGTGTTTCTCTTTCCATGTGAGTAACATATTGGATGCTGCTGTTAGAGTTGGAGTAATTTAATTCCTCGTTTATCAACGCTGAATGCATTTTGTAATAATATAGACTCCTTGAATGATCAATCTCTGGGGTTGTGTTGAGCATTCATAATTCCCTCTGTAATGGTTTCCATGACGCGAGGAAGATTAGCATATGACTAAATAGATTGTTTTTTGCCTCGTCCCCTCCTAACTACGTTTAGTGATGGGGATTAGTCTTTCGAGTGTCATTTCTTGCTGCCACGTGGTGCCTGTTGATGATGACGACGACGATGTGGCTAGCTCTCACCCGAGCATTCTTCATCTGAGTTTTGACAAACCAAGAATGATGAAGTCATATTCGAGTAATCACTCGAACTGGTTTTGGAAAAGTTGACAACTACTGAGAAAACCGTTGTGATTGTATTTGAAAATTTTCAGCCCAGGTGCGTCCCCGAGCCCACGCCAAGAGGAGTCTGTTCGAAGTCTAGTGTCTCAAGTGGATGGGAGACTTTGGAGTGAAGAAATATTCGAAAGGAAACTATCATCGAGGCATCTCGAGAGAGCAGAGTAAGTGCCAATTTTGCAATATGTATGTTCGCTTCCCTCAGCTTAGCTCAAGAATTTATAGACGAACTGATATACTAGGGTACAAAAACTAAGAAAAAATTACCAAAATTTATATTCTCATATTGTCACCAACACATGTGGTTGACCATGTGCATATCCCCTCCGCACTCTGGAGTAAGGCCCTTACTGTAAGGGACCATCCAGGAAACTATAATATTAACGAGGGGAGTTCATTTACAAATTTCCCATGCAAATGTCATCACATAAGGAGGCCCTAGGGTCTATGGTTTGAAACAGTGTTTACTACTACCAAAATTCAGGTTGTTGATACGGCCAGATTGTCAGCAGAAGTCTAAGGTGGTTCGGAGAAGGCTTCCTCGGACGTATAATAAAATGTTCACACAAAGGGAGTTACACTATCGCGAGTGGCGACGTCCACCTCCAAGTCGGCTCTGTAGAGCATGCACTCCTAGTGAGGTTCAATCATAGCATCTTTTGTTATCACTATTTATCATATTATTAATAATCATTTTTGTCATATGAATGCCCCTTCGTTGCCGATCTTCATTCCGACTTGAGAAAATCTCTTTCTATATTGCTCTGACGAGTTTCTAATTTTCTTTCTTACTACTGGTGTTTGGTATCTTCTTATTCTCGTTTGATGTATTTTCTGTATTCGTAAATGTTGGCGTTGTCATCACCACATGTTGAGGAGAGTTTTCCAAAACAGTTATTGCTGCAAAGATAGGAATGCATCTCGTGGAGAACTAAGGTAGAGGCGAGCGTGAATTTCACCGGTGCGAAAATTGCCATTCAAAGTGACTACTTTGGAGTTGTCGTTGAGCGTTATCAAGGTTTGTCGGTTGTCGCTTTACTACGATGGGATGTTGTGGCAGCAGCAGCCGCAGCAGCCTCGTACGGAAGGGTGGTGTACTACTCACACGTGATGATTCGGAGGATTGGTCTGTGCCTAGTGTCGTCCATCTAGAGCTCACCATCAAAGACCCCTTAAAGACCTATTCTGGTGGTAACGGGTAGGCACATGTGGTTCTCCTCTTTTTTTCCTCTTTTTCCCCGATTTTCCCTCTTTTTTCCTCTTTTTCCCTCTTTTTTCCCTCTTTTTCCCTCTTTTTTCCCTCTTTTTTCCCTCTTTTTTCCTCTTTTTCCCCCTTTTTCCGTGATTCTCCCTTATTTTCTCTGATTTTTCATTTTTTTCCTGGTTTTCCCTCTTTTCCCCTAATATTTCTGAAGAAAAATGCCCGAAATTGTTTGTAAAATCATTGATACGAGCAGTAGCCGCTTACATTCCGGTAACTCCCGGTGTGGTGGTATTATCCTTTGCAGTTGCATCGCCGAGCCCACGTGATAACGTTTCCATAAGAAGTTTAGTAAGTCAGAGTAATGCCAGGAAATGGAGCGAGGAAATGTTTGAGGAGAAACTGGCCAATCGCCGTCGTGACCGAGCGCAGTAATATCGGAATTTTGTATAGGAAAATTCATGGTGGTATTAAATTTCTGCTAATATGCGAAATGATATACTTTCTACTCGGATTTCAATAGTAGGAGTGTTGGCCGGTTGGGGGGGGGAGGTTTGAGGAAATTTTGGGAAACCTATATTAGTTTTCTGCGCAATTTTATTCGTATGAAATCAACTATGAAACCTGAGCGAAGCGATGATATATTCCAAAACTGATGTTGGTCTCTTCTAATCACTTGTCAGGTCAATGCAGTCGAACAGAGGTGGTGACGACTGCACTACACGTTCCGCGCGAGGCTGCTCTCGATGTGACACCAACAGGAGTGTCACCATCTTGGGTGATCGGCAATGTATGTCTAGAATTTCCTCAACATCACATCTACAGTACGATATTCCGTATGATATACGGAATAGTTCCAGGTGAAAATTGTGGGTTATATTTTCCGCTGCAGTGTTTGCTTTCATTGTAGGTCACTGAGTATGCATAAACGTGAATCTTCTGATTCTGGTTTTTGGGTAGAAGGGTCTGAGTTTGGTGGATCAAGTT